CATATTTTTGTAAGAAATATTATTGGAAGATCATTGAAACATGCGAATAATACAAGCTTGAGCAATAGCCCATTGTACCTCTTGATATTCTTGATTAAATCCCATGGTGATGTCATTTTTAAACAATTAAAAATAAGAGGTTGTATTTCTATGATGTGCCTCGTAAATCGAGTGTGTTGAAAGTAATAATCACAGTTTGCATTGATCTTTTTTATAGTGAAGTTTATTTATTTTTCGTTTGTTATTTCGATTAATGCAAATATTTTTGGAGATTTAGTTTATGCTTTTAATAATATTACATATCCTATTTTTTATTGCTAAGATTATAAACAAAAATATCCATTTGTCCGATTATTAGTTAGGAATGAAAATCGTGAAAATTAGTTTTACTTTCACAGGGTACTATTTTAGAATTTAATAAGGTTAAACTACTATCGATTATTGTTTTTTTTTTAAAAAAACTTAATTTGTGCTACCTTATGGAATCAAATTTTAGCATTTGTATTGAAAAAATAAGAATCGTAATCTAATATTTTTTTTAGCAAATGAAATTTTTTAGAATTTTATTTTTGTCAAATTACTTTCAATATGAGTTTCAATATCTTCAAATTATGCTTAGAATTATTACATATCCGATTTTCAGTTGGTAAGATTATAAAAAGTTTTCAAGTGTCCGATTGTACTAATTAGGTATGAAATATTGTGCAAATGAGTTTTCTACACCTAGAGTACTGTTTAGAATTTTAATAATGTTAAATTACTATCATTAGAGTTAAAAAAAAAAACTTAAATTATGCTATCTTATGGAAGCAAATTTTAGCATTTATATTGAATAAAAATAATCAAAATCTAGTATTCTATACGCAAATGAAATTTAGTTTCTAAATGTAGTGGACTTGAATGTGCTACCTTATGGATTTGAATGATAATAGGTTTAATATTGATTTTTATTGTGATTATTGTTGTAATATATATTGACAATATGCAAGATCCATGTGTAAGATAGATAGAAAAACAAAGAAAGGATTAGAGAAGAATAAGAAAGAAGAGATACGCCGTCAAAACCATCATCTTATTCATCCAGTTGAGCCCTATATATAAGGGAATATAATGTACATGAGTAAATACCTAATGGGCTCC